AATGAGTGGATAGAGAAGCTGTGGTATATTCACACAATGAAATACTACACTGCATTGAAAAACAAGGAACTCATGCAATATTATTCAAAATGGGTGAGCCTGGAGGACATTATGCTGAGTGAAATATCTCAGATGCAAAAGGACAAATATTGCATGGTGCCACTGTTGTAAAAAGGGACTGATATCAGGGTTGGGGTAAGATTGAGAAAAGCTGGATAAATTGTGTATACTGCACTGAAACAGATGAGGGAGTGAATAATTTAAAAGTGATGTATGATAGGGTCTTATGGTTATCACAAGAGTCCACAATTAAGGTTGCATAGTGGAATGTACTTGGGGCGGTGGGAGGGGTGCCGGGGGATTGTGTACCAGGGAAGGAGTGTTTCTTTTACTTTTGAAAGAGAGGAGCGAAATGGGGTGCGTGGGGGAGGACTGGGCGGGGAGAGAAGTGCAGCAATGAATGAATGGAAATCCAAAATCTCTGTAAATGCTCACTAAAATTATTTTTAAAAAAGAAGAAGAAAAAACCCAAAAACAAACAAACAAACAAAATACAATATTGAAAAGAAGTGATGACAGTGGGCATCCTTGTCTGGTCCCTGTTTGCAAGGAAAATTCAATATTGTTTAAAAAAAAATAAGTGAGCCAGTATAGCTAAAAGTATCATGTTTCTCTTTTCTATACCAGTGCCCTAATTTATAAACATTCAGATTCTCATTCTTTAAGAGATTGTTAAAATCATAGTAAAGAATCATGAAATGCAGACATAGTAGGCTCTAAAATTATAAAATATTTGTTATTGCTGTTATTATTAGTTGCCATGGAGTCAATTCCAGTTGGTGAAACATTTATACAAACAAGATAAATAACATCTATGTAAGCATTATGACAGTGGAAAACATCTCTGAGCACTCCATTTATCTTTTTTTTTAATACTGGTTTAGTTAAAAAGTTCAAATACATTGTTTTTCTCCCTGTATCTTTCCCATTTCCTTCATCCAACTCCCAGCCATCAGATTGTATGACCCTATGATCAACTCCTCTCCCAACCTATTCTCATTCTTCTGCTCCACCTTTGGATTCTCATACTCATTTTACAATAATGATTTTATACAATATTTGTCCTTATGGGATGGAGTTAGTTCACTCAGTATAATGCTCTCCATTCCCTCTCAAGTTAAGTAGTAGCTTAAAAAAAATTGTTCCTGTATGCTGTTTAGTATTCCATTGTGTGAATGTACCATAATTTCTCAATCCATTCGATTGTTCTATATATCTTAAGAAGTAGAATACGGTGTGTAACTTGGGTGTTTACTTTATTAGTCTTCTTTTCCATTCTCTTAAATTTCAAACTTTCATATTATAATCTCCTGTCTTGCTTTCATATTTTATTATCTGCTCACATACATCTAAAATTTAACATTGTTTTTTTTAAAGATTTAAATTAATAAAAACACAATCTGTGTAAAATATATATATATATATATATATATCTTTGGGGAGCTCTGGTGGCCTAGTGGCAAGAAATTGTACTACAATCTCAGAGGTGTGCGGTTTGAATCCAGACACTCTGCTGCAGAAGGAGGAAAAATCTCCTCCTGTACCAGTCAGATCCGATTTGACGGTACACGCACAACAAATAATAAAAAATTTTAAAAAAATCTTTAAAGTACTAAAAAAAGTAAAGATGTCAGTTTAAAGATTTAGGTGCACCTGATGCAAACCACAATATGTTCAATTGCTTCTTATGCTTCAGAGAGTTAATAAGGAAAGCCAAAGAAGAATCAATGCCTTTGAATTGTGGTGCTGGTGACTAACTCATGGACTGTCAAAAGAGCAAACAAATTTACCTCACAGGAAGTAAATCCACAGTGCTCCTAAGAGGCAAGGCTGGTGAAACTTGGTCTCATGTCCTTTGGGTATATTGTCAGGAGGGGTTAATGCTTGCAAAAGACATGCTGGGGAAAGTAGAAGGTCATCAAAAGAGAGGAAGGCCCTCAATGAGACAGAATGACATGTCTGGTGGCATAGTGTTTAAAGTGTTGGGCGGCTAATAGAAAGATCAGTAGTTCAAATCCATCAATCATTCCAAAGAAGACAGACAGGCAGTCTCCTCTCATTAAGCTTTGTAGCCTCAGAAACAAATGGAGGGTTGCCATAAGGCCAAATCAAGTCAGTGGCAATGGGTTTGGCTTGAGTGTCTTCCCAGAGGTCCCTGTCACTGAAGGTCTAAAAGTCAGAGAATATCTGATTGTGATTCCAAGGTATTAAGATCTGAAAGGTTTTCATTCCCAGATTCTTAAAGGAGCACTGGTGGTGTACGAGAGAGATATACTAATCAAAAGCTGGCAGTTCAAATCCACAAGGCCCTCCACTCGGGAAATAGATGGGAGACTCCAAAGAGGGTCATAATCAGCCAGAACTGACTTGACAGTAGTGGATTTGGGGGTTTGCTATACTTTTAAGGTTATACTCTTCCATGGTTCTAAAGTTGTACTGCCTAATATGGCAGCCACAAGCCAAGTATGACTACGTAAATGTAAAAGAGTTTAAATTAAATAAAACTAACAATCATCTATTGTACTGGCCACATCTCAAATGTTCATTAGTCACATGTACTAGGCTCCCATATTGAACATCACAGATGTTTCCACTTCTTAAACATTCTCATGAACAGGGCTGATCTAAAGATTAAAGCTCTCAGTGTCCCTCGATGCACTCCCTCCCTGACTCTTAAGATTCCCTGCACTAAGAGATACAAATACTGTTCCAGCAGACCCCTCTCCTTTTCATCTCTTCCCCTTCACCCACCTCAGCCCACACCCTCCCAAGTACCTGCCAAGGCCTTGATCCGGGAACACTCAAAGAGTGAGGCAGCTGCAGTGGAGGCAGCCAGCTGCTCCCGCTCCCAACCCCGATCTGGACTCTCCCAGCGGGCTGTGGGGTTGTTGTTGTTGTTGTTGGGGGCAGGCAGGCCCTCCATATTGTCCACTTCCCCTCCTGGTACCTGCGCCATTGGGGGAGGTGAAGCCTAGAATGGAGAAAAACAGATTAAGACTAAAAATGAGAGCTAAGCTCAAACACTCACCTTCTAACAATGTTTCTCTGGCCTTCAGTTTTCCAGTCTTTAAAATGGACACAGTAAAAACCTCACTATCACCAAGACAGAAGAACCAAGAGCAGACTTGGGTTCCTATGCTGATAAGGTCCTTGACACAAATTTCTCAGGGGACACAAGAGATCTCCAGGGGACATGGGGCCTACAGATGCTGAAGGAAACAAGGACCTTCCTCCAGAACTGGAAGAGAGAGAATGAATGACTTCCCCTAGAGCTGGCACACTGAATTCAGGCTTCTAGCCTCTTAAACCATAAGGGACTAAGTTTCTGTTTGTTAAAAGCAAAATAAGTAAATGGATAACAGTGCACAGGGTTACAGGCAAAGTATTCAGCTTGGCTCTTGGCGCAGAGTAGAGCAAATCATCACTGTTATTATTATTATTAGAGCAATAATATTGTTGCTGACAGAACTCTATAATGCAGTAATAGTGATAGTTAAGATTTCCCAAGCATTTGCTTTGTATTAAGTACTTAATATCCATTATCACAATTCCCGTGGATTTAGTTCCCAAAGTACAGGGTATTAGCCGACTCATTTTACAGAGGAGGAAGTTGAGGCACAGAGAGGTTAATTCATTTGCCCAAAGTTACACATCTGGTTAATCATGAAGTTAAATTATGATGTGACAGGCACTGTGGTTAAACAGCTGCATTAACAGCCTTAATTCTTCACTATTGAAGCCACACCTTTAAGGAGTTCTAGTGACAAAATAGTTGAGTGCTGGACTATTAACCAAAAGGTCAGGGGTTCAAATTCACCAGCCTCTATGGGAGAAATATGTAGTAATCTATAAAGATTAGAACCTTTGAAACCTGTTGTTGTTGTTGTTGTGTTAGGTGCCATCGAGCCAAGGACTCATAGCGACCCTGTGAACAACAGGTCTGAACTCTACCCTGTCCTGTACCATCCTCACCATCTGATATATTCAAGTTCACTGGCAGAGTCACTGTGTCAATCCATCCTGTTGAAGGTCATCCTCTAACCTCCACCTTTCCCAGCCTGATGCTTTTTTCCAAGTACTGTCCCCTCCTGACAACATGTCCAAAATATGTGAGACGAAGTTCCACCATCCTTGCCTCTAAGGAGCACCCAGGATGCACTTCCTCCAGGGCAGACTTGTTTGTCCATGGGATATTCAGTGCTCTTCTCCAACATCACAACTCACTGTCCAACGTTCATATGCACAGGAAATAACTGAAAAGACCAAGACTTGGATCAGGTGCACTCTGCCCCCAAAGGGTCTCCATGAACTGAAACCAATTTGACAGCAGTGAGTTTTTTTGCTTTGTGGCCTCATACCAAGTAAATAGTGTCCTTCTTTTGTGGAGGGGATGGAAGGGTAGGGGACATGTCCCACCTTGGCCCACACGTGTCTTGCCCTGGCCAATGGAGTTAGGTAGAAGTGAGGAGGTGTCAGGTATGAACCTGAAATTCAACAGACTTGTATGTTTCTGCTTACACTCAGCTGAGGCCATGAGGAAAACTTGCATGGGTTAGTCCCAGTCTAAGCTCCCAGTCAATGCAGTAAAAAGCAAAGAAAGCAGCCAACACCCACCTCCCTCCTCCCAAGATGTGAATGCTCTCAGAAGAGACTATCACCGCAAGGCAGAGTCCAGCCTGAACCTCAGGCTCCAGGACTAAAAACTTGCTAGTGTTTTAAGACATCAAGCTTGGGGTGATTTGTTAGGCAACATTATTGCAGCAGTAGCTACCTGACATATCATCCCACTCAAGAGCTAGCTGTACTCCAGTAGCCAAGCTCAATGTCATTAAGTAGATTCAAATTCATGGCAACCCTATGTGTAGAGTAAACATAGACTCCATGAGGTTTTCAAGGCTTCTTTTGGAAGCAGATTCACAAGAGCCTCTGAGTGGGTTCCAATCACTAACCTTTCATTTGTATTACGTAGGGACAAGTTTATATATGTTGAAATGTTTATATATGTACATATATGTTGTTGTTGTTGTTATGTGCCTTCGAGTTGCTTGCGACTCATAGCAACCCTATGGACAATAGCCCTAAACTCTGCTCTGTCCTGTGCCAATCGCCCTGTCTCTTACACTCCCTCCCGATTACCCCAGTCACTGAATCAATCCACCTCATAAAGGGCCTTCCCCTCTTGCGCTGTCCCAAATATATGTTTACATATAAGAGGAAAGAGGGGTATGTGATAACAAACATCTCTCCACCTTCCCAGTCACACCACACCCGACTCTAAACCAGCACAGGAAGCAGTGGAGAGGGGTTCAGTGGTCCTCCTCCCAAAAGGACTAGGCATTTTCCAACCCACGAGAGTTTAAGAGGGGAGCGCCTAGGTCCTGGTCAGCTCCAGTCCCTTTGGGAGGACAACCCAAAATCCATTCTTCCTCTTCCTTTCTTTCATGGAAAGTTCTAAGTAGACAGGGCACATGCCGCCTACCTGCTTCGCGACCTTGTCCAATTCACTTCCCTTCTCTGCCCTCAGTGTGTTTATCTGTAAAATGGGAATAATAATGGTACCCATTCCTACGGGAAGCTCTAAGGGTGTTTGATGGTTAAGCAAGCAAATAATACCAGTACTGTGCTACCGGCTGCACAGCAAACCCTCCGTGTACACATTCCTATGCCAGAGTGGGTTCAATCCTACTTTATTCTAGCTGTTATCTTTAACTGAGCTTCTCAGGACCTCCGTTTCCTCCTGTTAGATAGTGACCGCACCTGTGATCTTCTGGGCATGGGAGACGCTCCCTCGGGCCAGGAAGAGGGGAGCAGCCCAGACCACCGCGGGATTGATGGGGAAGAGAGGCTGGCAAGGCGCGGAGAGGGGTCCCGCAGCTCCACGGGCGGCGGGCGAGGGACTGGGGCGGGATCAGGAACTTTAACCCTTCGTGGGCGGCCCGAGCCTCCCTCTCCCCGCAGTCCAGTCACGGTTCCCAAGGAGGGGGGCCTGCGAAGGACAAGGCCTGGAGGTAGGATCTGCGCCGTGCGAAGGCTGCATCGCGTTGGGGGTGGGCTTGCTTTGCACCCCACCTCTTCCACAGACAAGAGACCCCGGGGTTCAGGCCAAGCCCACCGCGCGCCGGGAGGGAGGCTCGGGCAGGTGGGGAGATGCTGCGGGGGAGGCGCCGGCTGCCCGAACGCCGCTCACCTGGGCCCGCGGCCGCCC